TCAGGGTACAGTAGGAATTACCCAGCCCTCAGCCAAGAGGGAGTGCAAAATACTAATGAGACAGATCCACCTCAGTGAAAACTGCATAATCAGGCTGCTGAATAGCAAGTTTCTCAGGGTGCAAGTGAAGGTGGCTGCTCTGGATTCCAGCACAAGTTTTCCTAATGATGAGAGTATTTGAATAACGTGGTGTTTATGTGGTAGTAGATACAGGAGATCCTGCCTTTACGAAAGTCTTCATGATGCATTTCAGCCAGGAGATGATCTGCAACTCCTTCTAAGAAGCAATATCCCCAGGCTGAGAGACAGTGCTCACGTGGGGCACCCTTCCCTATTAAACTTTGTTTAGACTTTCCCTGGATGGACGCGACATAAAGACCAGCCCTCGAAAGTCCTTAAGGAACTTCAGTTTTCTATTTTCCCATTTTCTCCCTTTTTCCTCTTCATAAGCCTGTTACAAAGTTGCTGCAAATGACCCAGCCTGAGTTCTGCTCTCATCTGAATCGAAATCCAAGAACGTGAGGCTCTGCTTTCAGGAATATGAAATAGCTGTGGGTACACACAAGTATCCTTTACAATCTCCCTATGAACTTACTCTCTTGCTGACTCTTCCTACTCCACCCTGAGGGTGGAATCCTCTGCCTCATAGAAAGTGGCAGCTCCTGATATATGTTCATGGCAAAGCCTTGCCTTAACAAACAAACAAAAAAAAAAAAAAACCCAACCAAATCCCCTACTCCCCTCAAGTGACCACAAGTTGGATCAATACAGAGGGAAGAATAAGGGGGCAAATATATAGTATTATCCAGTATGTTCTCTAGCTTCCAATAATTTGCAGCTTAGGGATATCAAGAGCTCATAATCCAACTTCTCAAGTTCATGTTTTATTTCAGAATGAGGATCCACCTATCAGGCACCTTTAAATTCAGTTTCTTTCAACAGAATAACAACTAGCTCTATCCAAAAGTTATTTATAAACTATTTTGATCCTCAGTTGTTTAACTGGACTAGAATCCCTTGAGAAATATCATATTTCTATTTTAAAAGGGATATGTGTTTACTTTCTTGTATTAACTGATCATTAACAGTGGAAAAAAAAAACATATTTAACTGTACTAAGAAATGAAAGGAAGAATCATTTCACTGTTATGCCATCTATTGTTTATTCATTCTTACCAATATTTAGTTTGAACTAGACAACTCTGATTCAAACCATTACACAGGAAACGAGACAGCTTTGAGTCAGTCCTGCCTATCTTTCTATAAGATTCTTGAAACAATTGAGACTTAAAAGTGTGAAGAAACATGTGAAGTACGTCTCATGCTGGAGACTGGAAACTCAACAATTTTAAGAGCGCCAAAGATTTTTTTTTTTAAGCAATATAGTCCTGTACCGAGAAAGTCAATTCTGCCGAGTTCTTGGAGGAAAATATACTCCCATACAATTCAGGAGACAAAGGGAAAGAAGCCAGAGAGGATCCACATCATGTTATTGGTTTGTCCTGTGAGACATCAAGTGCTATGATTACAGGGAGTGGTACTGGTATCTGCTTACCATCTCTCAAGATGTAACCCAGTGCAGGCAGCACTGGAGTCATTTATAGTGTTTGCTTAACAGGAAATGGGACCTACTAAATAACATTGGTTTTATTCACACCTAAAGAATCCTCGTGATACTTCTTGTAAGCCACTGCTTTACAAGTAAAATAAGAAGAGCATAATAGTGACCACAGTTAATAGAGGAAAATGTAGGCAGTCTGCGTGCAATCCATTCATTTCCTACAGATTGGAAAACAACATCAGGCCTACTACAGTTTATATAACACAGGCAATCAGAAGTTTATTATGCTCACATATTGATTAAAACAAATGTAATTTTTGCCATTTACCTGATTCTAGAAATAGAAATATTTTAGCTATTATCAAGATGACATTTTCTGTTCAAAAGACTAAACTAATTTTCCAAAACCTTACTCGTCTGTTGACTGAGTAAGACAGAGTCATCTAAACTCTGGAGGTGCCCTGTTTCACTACCACATTCTCTAGGTTACGGCAGGCTAGTCTTTGTGCAGAAAACACAGTCTTGACAAGGAAGAACAGCTCTGTGTCTACACCACTTCTTGAGCCCAGTTTTCAGAACAAATATTCCTCCGCTTGGTTTCCTGGCAGCAATCAGAATCAGGTTCCTCTAAGAACTCAGATGTCGGTGCCTTCTTCTGAAAACGCAAGAAGAACCAGCATCCTGACTGCTGAGGTTTTAACATTATACTGCTCCTTGTGTTTTCTCTGGTTCAGTTTGTCCTCTAACCCTGTTGAACAGCGGCACTGCTTCAGCAGCAGAGGAAGAGTACCCAGCTTGCTCTAACCGTCTCACACAGGGCGTCGTGAAAGGGAGAGAGAACTACATATACCCAAAATGGATAAGGAAGGACCTAACCTCTGTTTCCACTTCTCAAACATGTGGATGCACAGGTATTTGAAAGTAAGAGGCACAGCACCTAAACTCAAGCAGACAATTTCTGACTGGAATCTCAGAAGAAAAGGAATTGCCTAGATCTGTACATTGGACAGGATTTCAGATCGCCTCTCTTAAATATTTCCTATGAGCTAGCCCTAAGCATTTTACCAAGCACGCTCAGCCCAGGTGGCTCTGTGCTCAGGACATAAAGTGACTTGGCTCCCGCCCTATGCAGCTAAGTCTGCCATGCATCATGAACCAAGCCAAAGTTACTGGCAAAGGATTCTGTTGTGGACAGGAGGTGCACAAGAGTTACCATCCACCACCATCAGCTGCAGATTTTCAAATTAAAGTCTGTTCATGTAACTGTACACAAGAACCTGAGGGTTTTTGGTAGTTGCCAAAATATGCCATCTAGATGCTTGAGTAACAGAAGCAAGGTGGAATGATTTCCCTTTACCTTTCTTATTTAAGTTGAGGGGCACTTTTTTACTTTACACTCCAAATTAAGATGAATAGTGCTGACACTTCAAATCACAGATTTCAAATAATCTTCAAGAAACTCATGATTTGCAAAAATTGAAAATAAATGACCAATAAATAACAGTCACAAACAAGTGAAAACTGATACGACACTTTCTGTCTTTTTTACCCATGCAGATTGAACAGAGACCACAATAGGAAAGAATATTTGTTTATTTGCATAAAATGAGTTCTCTCTGTTTTGAAGAGTCTCGTCATTGCGAAACCATTAACTAAATCCCCATTAGTTTACCTTAAGGGCAGTATCTTCAAACCTGTGGTTCTCTGCCTTTAAAAAGTTTTCCACGATATCGAAGATGCAGTTTTGAGAACACAGTGCCAGGCTGCTGCACTAGTGATTTATTTGGGTAATTGGTAGAGTTAATCATCCTTGTAGACATGTAGGAGACTATGCTACTATATCTGAAGTTAAATGGAAGAAATTACAATACCACAATACTACGTTAAGAACATGCATTAGCACAGTCATTCAAGACAAAAACAAGACTTCCACAAAACCACAGCATAGCTGACCTTATACATACATATATTCGAGGAGTAAAATGCAAAATTAAAAGTTGTCATCCAATTTTAAGAGGCCAAAGACACAGAGCTGGCAACTAGAGTTGTCACTGCAGAAATAAGAGCTGTGTAATTCCCGAAGGCGCTTAAAATTTTTACAAAGGCGTATCTTCAGCAGCCTCTCCACAGGTTACAAACACATATACGCGTACGTCTTTATTTCAAGATACGCAGCTCACAGTTGCTCAGCTTGGAAAACACTAAACTTGAAATCGAGTCTTCTCAACAGATTTGTTACACGTGTAACATCATAGGCTCGCTTCGGGCTCTGTACCGGCAAACATATAAGCCAGGCCTCGGCCAAGAAATCGGGCAGATGCCACCGGCGTTACCAGAGGCTGAGCCACCCAGCACTGCTGCCAGCCCCAGGGCCGCTATCCCTTTCCCACGACGAAGGGCTGCAGGGACCCATCTCCCCGAAACGGTCGGCCGGGACGGGGCCCGAGGAGCGGGCACGCCGCAGAAACCCACCGACACCCTACTGCCCCCTCACACGCCCTCCAACAAAAGCAGGCGCCACTTGCTTCAAGGTGAAACCTGACGGCTGAGGAAAAGGGGCTACGACGGCCAAGGACCCCGGGCCGCGCCATGGGGACCCGCACGGCCCCAGCGGCGACGCGGGGTGGCCCC